TAGTAGTAGTAGTAGTAGTAGTAGTAGTAGTAGTAGTAGTAGTAGTACTAGTAGTGGTAGAAGAAAGAAGAAGCAGGAAGAAGAAGAAGAAGGACGAAGACGAAGACGAAGACGAAGAAGAAGAAGAAGAAGAAGAAGAAGAAGAAGAAGATAAAATGCGCACAGGGAGGAATTGAACCCCAGAACTCCGGGATCTAAATGCCTACTACGATGCAGGGTAAAAATATCAACTCTGTTTGCCTGTCAGCTGAGGTCAATTTTTTCTTCAGCCACAAAACCAAAAAGCACCAACCAGAACAAACCGAGCACACTGAGCAAAGTGGCTTGGTTGGTTGTTGGCTGGCTTCCTGGTCTCTAGCAGCGTGCTCGCAGCCCAAATCTGAGTCCAAACATTGCTTCTGTTGCCCGAAGACACAAGGCACTGTGGAGAGTGGGTGGGGATCAAGGCATGAGGATCAAGGCACTTCCACAGAAGACAGAAGGCACTGTCTCCATTGTCTAACACCCCTCAATGTCGTCTGAAGATTGAGTGAGGATCGAGGCACTTCCACAGAAGACACAAGGCACTGTCTCCACTGTCTAACACCCCTCAATGTTGTCTGGAGATTGGGTGGGGATCAAGGCACTTCCAAACATTGCCTCTGTTGCCAGAAGACACAAGGCACTGAACAACACCAACAACAACCAAAACAGCAACAACCACAGCCACAGCCACAGCCACAGCCACAACACCAACCACAGCAACTACTACAACCACCACCACCACCACCACCATCACCACCACCACCATCACCACTTTCACCTGTTTGTTTTTGCCGCCTGCCATTGGCTTCCCTGCTGGCCCGCTGTTGAGCGTAAGCCCCTAAAATCCATTAACCACCCCTTGTGGGCGATCAACAACTTGCTGCGGATGCATGAGAACTCTCAAAGATGGCAAGTCTTCTCAGCTCAGTTTTGGAGTTTCCCATACCGGATGGGACGGCAGCGACGATGGGATACATCAACTCAACTCGTTCCCAGCGGGTGTCCCAACGAGCCGGTTTGCAAACCACAGGTCTGCAACGAGCAAGCGCGCAACGCCTTTTGCGCCATCAGACCGCCGCTCGATCTGTGAGATGCCAATGGTCGGTGGTTTGTTTTTATCCGAGAATGAGAAGATGTTTTGGGGGTCACCTGCTGATTTCAGACCGAAGACTTATGAAGATCTTAAAAATTTCCATGTTTTCAATGTTTTGCAAACTTCGGTTCCAAGTTCTGAGACTTCGGAATGGGGCTAGAGTAGTTGCTGACTGACCTCATTCTTTGCATCAAGAACATCCATTTTTGTTCGGCATGGCAGCGTGGTGATGTGTGCTATGACATTGGAAAACACAGCATTCGGGGTCAGCAAGCTTCCTTTGAGAGGACATGACCTGCTGACGAGTGCAAAGACTTATTTTTCTTCATGTTGCTGGCTGCAGACTCAGACGTTTTGGAAAGGATCCTGAACCACTCGGATTTGTGGGATAAAACCTTCCCTGCCGTCGGAACCATGCGACTCTTCGGATGTTTCTCGACTCTTCGCACCGCCGCGACCCGAGGCCGGGGCACCATCTGGGCCCCGCGGGCGCGGTGGACAAGAAGGACCCGCGGGAGCGGTAGCCGATGGCGGACGGTTGCTGAGACGCCATCGGTCTGTACCATGTCCGATCCTCTTGAAAGCCTCGGCTGCCGGCCCCGTTGGACCGGGACTGGACACAGCACCTTTCTGTACCAGAGGCTCTCTTCGTGGTTCGAATCCTCAAGGGTGGAGGTTGATGTCTACAATGTTCCACTCTCCAACTCTCACAGCAGTCGGGTGAAGATGTTGTCTATTTTTTTTTCCCGTTACTTGGGTATGACCTCCAACTGATAGATCCCCGAGATTGCCACATGGATAATTGTATATATGACATTATATATGGACATGAATCATGAATCCCTCAATTCATGCCATCCACTCATGGCGCCAGGTCTTTGACTTGTTGCCACTTCTGCTACTTCTGGCTCAGGCACCTCGAGCAAACAGACATCCCTCGCAACACAGACAGACCAATCCGGCCATGCGGAGTGCGATCCTGTCGTGCTTGGCCTTGGCCGTCACGGCCAAGGAGCTTACCAAGGAGTGGGGGTGGGGGTTGGTGGTGATTGGATGGACGAGGCCATTTACTTGAACTCCGGACTCCAAAGAATCCATAGTGTCAGACTTGTTTGAAGATTGAAGAACCGTTCCTTTTTCTTCCATCTGGTATAGTGGTCCCAGGCAGGCAGTGTCAGACTTGTTTCAGAGCGATGTGTTGATGTTGTTCAGGTCTGGGGCCAGGTGAAAGGTGATTTCAACTCTACTCCTGTGATGGGACGTGTCAGGAAGATGTCAGAAACATGCGGTTCTTCTTTACCAGACCATGACCTCTCTGCGACTGCCGTTTCTCGATCAGACCAGGGGGAATGAATCCGGAGTCTGTTTGTCCTGTAGGGTAGATATTCCATATTCCAGGAGTGTTTGGGTAGTGCAAGCTGCGATCAATCTCCAACAGGAACTTGCTTTGGGCGGAACATAAGCTTTGGGACATCTCCAAAGCTTCGCACCCTCGGACCGCTCAAATCTTTCCTCTGAATGTGCTGACCCTGAAAATACACCATCCTTGTTGCGCTCAAGCCTAACCCCCCCATGTGGACTTGACATACCCGCGATCTCTCCTACCCGCTTCAATTGGGATTCACTCAAACCTCATCTAACTCCTCATCTATATACCATCATCTAGCCATCTCTTTCAGGCCGAAAAGGGGAAGATGTTGGGTAGCGAGGTTTACAGATCCAGGCCTGTTAGAACCCCATATGCTGCAATTCCATGCTGGAATCTTTACAAAGCAATGTTTTACTCGCTTCAAGCTGCGAGACGTCTGCTGTTTTGCCGTTTTGCTAGACATTTAGGCGTGATGACCAAGAGCAACAACATCAATGTCAACAAAGGCTTTTGTCTTTCCAACAAACAATATGTTCCCGTCTAGGTCTTACTGCAGTGGGAGCAAGAAAAACAGCAGTTTATGTAGAGAAAACATGAGAAAACATCGTCCAATTCTGGGGTTTCAAGCCTTTTCAGATTCACTTCTGGGTTGATGGGTTTGTACCAGAACTCTTGGTCGTCTTGGTGGCCCCACGTCCCCAGCGGTGGAAAAATACATGGGAAACTCTCAGACTCATCCATTGGATGGTCCATAGTAGGCTATGTCATTGATGCTTCCTCTTTATCCAGAACCATTGTTTTCAGAAACTGGTGTTGGAACTCATGATCCGAGCCTTTTTCGGGAGCAACAAGATGATCCAGTCATCTCAACGTTGAGGACTTCATCCAAAAGAATCCACTTCTGGGATCCGACCGTTGGGGATTCAGATCGATAAGAATGCAGGCATCCAACTTCAAGTGGAACATGGCCACTAACCAGCCACTTCTCACCAGTTCGAACTTCATCTTCCAACCATCCAGTTCTGGGACGAATCGGAGATCCAAAGGGAAAGACCTGGGACGCAGGAGACCTGGGACGAGGCAGTGAGCGGGAAGACGGTCTTCGTCAAGTTCCTCGCTCCTTGGCCCCTCGGTTGCGGAAGACGCCCGACCGGAAAGACCGGCGGAACCGGCGGTTCTGCGGTTGGAGACCGGTGTTTGGCGTGGACGTGTGGAAGGGTGGGAAAATCCGTGGGTTGGGTGAGAACGCTTTATTCGTTTGCGAGGCTCTGGACCACGAAGGCACCGTTTGGTGTAGAAACTGCTCCTCTTCCAAACCAAACTCGGGGTGCAAACTCGTGCGTTGGGGAGATTGTTTCTTCCTCGCGCAGGTGAGGCCACTGCAAGAAGATGAAGCCCGAAGCGAGATCGCAACGAGTGCAGGGCTGGTGCAGGGCTGGTGCCGGTGCAACCGCCCGGTGGGGGGGAGTAGTGAGCAGCTCTGTGGTTGAGTGGTTTGATTGAGTTGTGCGCTCTGTTAGGTTGAGAGGGTTGATCAGTGGATCTCGAATGATCTTGATAAACGGTACTGGAAATTCCTCTATAGCTTCATTGACTTTGGACATGCGCAGATGTTCATTTTTGTCTAGCACAATCGTCCAATGCTTCCAAAACATGTCACTTTGCAAGAGAGCTGAAGGAGTCCGGTGGTTTCAGTCTTTTTCAGTTTCCAAGTGGGCTGAAACAAAAACTAACAGATCCAGGCCTGATTCTTAGTGAAACCAGTTGCAGGACGTAACTTGCTGATGGATCCCACAATTCTCCTCCCGGTCAAACAGCTGGGAAGTCCATGATCCGGTGCTTGATTCTCGTCTCAGCCATTGCCAGACCTCGGGGTAAACCCACTGAAGAACCTCGTGCATACGCCGGATGTGACTGATGAAGGATTGGGACAAGCTGATGAAGGAGTACGAGGGCTCCTCCAACATTCTGATCGCAGATGTGGATTGCACCGCCGGTGGAAAGAGCAAGTGGCTCGGCTTTTTTGGATCAGAGCCGTGGGTGATGATTTCACAGCCAGGCGCCAGGCATGGCTTAAGTTAGTTTCTGGGAACGATGTGAGTGTTAGTAAATGGTGTCAGCCAGCTGCCATCTTTTTTACGTTTTGGCAGAGGCTTCTTTTGGTGGGTTGGTGATGCATAAAGTGCAATACAATTTAGTTTGCATCACTTGCATCATTGCTGCTTTTGGCACTAGAAGAAATTCTGAACAACAATCGCTGGTGGACCAAAGGGCTGGACACAGGCCAGCACAAGCGCAAGCATAAGGGGATGGGGCTATGCTAGCCACCTGGCTTTTCAGTGCATGTGGTCAGAAGCAGAACACTTCATTTTCTAAAGAGCGCGTTGTGTAAACGGTGGCCTGTTCACTTCCACTCATGGCCTGGGGCTCTGCTTCTCGAGCGTGCGATCGAAAGCTGGTTGAGCCTTACGTTGATGCGGTTTCCCTCCTGCTCTTTACTGGCTTTCGCTCCCCCCTTCTCAGGTACAATCCCAAATTCACAGACCTTCTCGAAGGTGACTGGATTGGTCTTTCTTCTGAGAGTAAGGCATTCTCTTTCCTCCACTTCGAAACCTGCCACTGGAAGCAGATCTTTTCGATTTTCCCTCGGGTGGATGACCAAACAGTCACATTTGCCCGACGCCGATCACATAGGAGGTACTTGCAAGGGAGCGGCCCCAACAACAAACAAACAAACAAACAAACAAACAAACAAACGACCAAGCAAACCCAAATAATAAACAAAGAACACCAAGCAGAAACGAACAAAAACCACACACAATCAAACAAGCAATCAAACAATCAAACAAACAAACAAGCAAACAATCAAACAAGCAAGCAAACAAGCAAGCAAGCAAACACACCAACAAACCAACAAACACCACCCACCCACCCACCCAGCCAACCCACCCAGAGGCCAACCCACCCACTTACCGAATCCTCCTCAACTCTCCATCAAGATTCCGATCTTCAAACTTCTTGATGCGTATGGCTGTGTTTTGCGACTTAATACAAATTCAAAGCAGTATTCAAAACCTCTCGCGACCGCGATTGTATCAGGAAACCCTATAGCGATTGGAGGCTCTTCGAAAACAGTATTTTTAGGAGACCCCCCTTGGGGAAACAGCATCACTTTGACCTCGATCCACATGGCCGGCCCGTGATAGACAACCACTGCCACTTGAGACAATGCCCAGGTGTGAGGAGGTGGGCGTTCGTGGCTATCCCACCATCAAATACGGTGACCCCGATGACCTCCAGGCCGGGAAGTTAAGATATATAGGGAATCACACGACCTGATGGCATTACAGTGGTTTCAGAGGGAGTAGAAGGCACGTTTCCCCCAAGATGTCCTAGACAGATGATCGGTCCACAAAGCCACCGACATTGGGGTCTGTGCCATCTACTCTCCATCCACTACAAATGCAAAACGCCTTTAAAAACAACTAGTACTATGGGATGACAAGGTTCTCATTCTGGAAAACCACGGCAATTGAGATTGTGGCATGGCTGGGCTTGGTAGTCTTGGTAGTCGTGGTCTTGAGCACGGGGATCCAAAGATCGCTAGAGTCATGTTCTGTTCGGTAGAAAGGACATATGTTCAGCGCACCAAGTCTCGGCAAACCATTTGGCCGGGCCAGAGTTTGCCATTGACCATTTTCCATCCTATTTGGCCATTCCACACGAAGCGGGACCGCCATCGTTCTTCCACGTGCGTCGTCACGACTCCGTCAGGACTACAAGGGCGGTCGCTCCTTCAGCGACCTCTCGAGCTTTGCGAAAGGCTTGGGCCCAGCCTGTGGCCCTGCCAATCCAGCGCCCTGGATCTGGAACACATCGCTGGCCAAGAGCATGGATGACATCCTGTATTTTTTTCGCATTGAGCACTGAAGGTGTGTAGTAGGTCTTAAGTGGTAGGTAGGTCGTGGTAGGTTGGTGGATCTTAGTAGTCCCTTTGCCCCGTCCTTCACAAATTATACGAATGATGAACTTGCCCACTGACAAATTTGGCCAGTTCCCCAATGACGTTGCAGACTGGTTCATTACCAGAGTTCGCTGACCCACATTCAACATGAGTCTCTCTCAAATAACATGCTCCGGCTGCCATGTGGTTGATTTGGCTTTTGCCGGCTGCTAAAGGGACCGGTTTCTTCCACGCTTTGTGGGTTTGAGGTTTTCCCCGGGACCAACCTCACCCAATTGGAAAACCATCCATTTTGTCCATATCTTGCCCTAGCCAGTTTTGGAACATTGGTTCTATAAAGCTATTGTCGATCCCCAAATCCGGATTGTCTTCAGATGCCCCGAGGAGTTGTGCGACGCGGCCAAGAAGAAGATGTTGGACGAATTCATGGCCTTGGACGGTACCAAGCGGGATGCCATGATCAAGGAGAGCGCCCGATTTTCGATCGTACAGGGTTTGGGAGAGTGGGGTCAGTGGGCCCGTCTTACGCATGAAAAATAGAACAGGTTACTACAGCACTTCATGCTATCAGGAGTGCACAGCCCGACACAGCCCCACCTGGCGGGCGCCTTTGGCGACTTCCGCGCGCTCCGAGTCGTCACAGACGACCACCGCGCGCGGAGTCGTCACGCTCGTTCGAGCTCCAGGAGAAGGAGGATGAGATCGAAAAGCTCGAGAGTGGCTTCAAGACCTTCGTGGAGGGCCTCCAAAAGTATCTGACCTGACTGTCTATACACTTTCATTCACGTTTTTCGAAATGGAGTGGAAAACCTCCTGTTTTGGTCGAGGACAGTCTTCCGTCCCATTTTCCACTTCCATGTTACGTGAATCAGACACAAACCTCTCGGACGACCCGCCCGAAATCGGTGGATCGGACGACTCGGTGGGAAGGAGCGGTTGGGAATCCACGACTTTTTGCGGCGAAGGGGCCTTGCGCCCGAATGAGCAGACCAGTTGTTTGTCTTTGAAAGATTGGACAAACTGGGCATGAAGATTCAGTACATCGACAAGAAGGACTGGACATAGAGTCATAGAGCAAACAAAAAAGGCTTACCCACCGCCACGCGATATCCATTTGGGTCGTTTCTGAGGCAATACCAGGAGGGCAGCGACAAGAAGGATGCAGACGTCGAGGTGGCTTTCGGGGTGATCATGCTTCATTTGTTTTCCTTGTCCAATTCTGACTATCATCAACTATCAAGTTTGGATATGTTTGGATAGTGGTCGTTTAAAGTTTCTTTCTACACTTTAAACACGCGCCGCCCATAAACCAAAATAGTATAATAAATAGATATAGTCGTTTTCCACTGTTTTCCCTGAGACGGGTCTTTGGGATCAGAACTGGTTATTTTTCTTGCTTCAGATAGAGCCATTTGACACGATTTGTTACAATTATGAGGACTCATGAGCTGAAACTCATGTTTGCAGCAGCATCAGCCTTTGCTAGATTCAGATACTCAATTCTGCACTTAGATGTAGCACTTCCCAACAATTCCAGCTGCCAGTGCTCCACTTCCTGATGCTGATTCAGCTGGACAAAAAAATCATCTCAAACCTGTCAAACATCTTGCTTTTTGGAAGGAGCTTCTTCTGTCAAGCTTCCAACACGTTGGGGTGATAAAATGCTCTTCATCACACGAAACTCATCAAAAGGTCGTGACCTCGAAACCGTCCGCCTCGTCCGAGTTCGGATCGCGGGCGACACTCGGGGTGACCCCGAGGAACGGAACCGCGCCAGGCCATCAAGACCTCGGGCTTGGGGTTGCTCAAGGCAGTGCACAACTATGCCAAGAAGCAGAAAGGTGAGCTGTAAAGCGCTCAAACCTTCGACCTCAGTGGTCAGTGGTTCGATCTGGAGCTGAAATGACAAGATCCTAAAGCATCCAGAGAAGATTGGGTATCCATCTCGACCCCTTTGTCTATCACTGCCCGATTCGCAAGAGCAGACCGTGCACAGCATCCTGTTTGTTCGAAATGAGTGAGCACAGTCAGGTACAGTCGCTATATGTATATTTACACAATCAAATGGTGTTGTTTTTGTTATATTGGAGTAAGCTGGATTTCCCGAAACTTACTGGGCCTAGCGTTCACCCACTTTTTTCCAGCATGGCGTTGTGGGTTTCTCGGATTCTAAGCCCTCTAAGCCTAAGGGCAGATGCAAAATGAAGAAAGTTCTGTGGAAGATCACTTTACCACTTGGCTGAACAGTCCACTCAAAAGCTCCAGGTCGCAATGATCTCAATCTTGGCTGCCACAGAAGGAAGACTCGGAATCTCCAGACAAAAACGCAGATTGCAAAACACATATTCATCTATAATAGAACCAAGAGATTTAGGAGTTCTCAGGTATGATAGCCGCAGAGCCCTCCTCTTGTCGCTTTTGGTCCCTGGCTCTTGATACCCCTCATGTTCAGGGAGTCACTCCTGGAGCGGGGTGGAATGCCGGGGTCGATTGGTGTGTCAGGAGCGGTTGGCTGAAGGCCAGAGACTCGTTTGACTTCTCAGTTTTTCTGGTTTTAAGTCTTTTCCTGGATCTCGGACTCCAAGTCTTGCTATACTGAAAAGACACACACGGCACACATATCACCTCAAGATCATAGTCATCCACAGCTACCTGTTTTGGGGCAGAACTTACAAGAGATCCAGGAGATATATGCCTTTTCTTGGGAGATCCAAACATGGTTGCTCGAGCGTGAAAGCGTGCCCTGTGCACCACATGAGTGCTTTTGTGGGCAGTTTTGAGAAGACAGACCTTGGCAACTTTGCGAAGGATGCCAAAATGTCCTGCAGGTTTTTCTCAACGGTTCTGTTCACCTAGGATTCACAAGCCAAAAATGCCCAGGGAGGTTTTCAAACTTGTCATTGTCATGCAGTCAACAACACCCCCATGGTCTTTTGGCTTAGTGAATGGTTTTTTCTCAGTGCTTTGTGTCAGCAATTCAGGGTTGAGTTTGTTATATATCATACACAGTAAAGTATATTCAGGGTTCATATACTGTTTATATCAATTTCGGGCTTGAATTGACCACCGGTGCTTGAGTTGACGTCAAAACCGATGTAAAAACCGACCTTCTGACACTGCAACTTCCTGTCCACGACGCCGTGTGTGCACCGAAACAGTGCTTTGGACCGAAGAAAACCGCTGAAGACCTGCGCGGCGCGACCATGCGAGCAGGACCTGATGGACGATCCAGAAGGCTCACAGGCGCGACGACTGTAAGCAGAGTTGGCAGACCTGGACCGAGTGGCGGAGGAAGAAACTTCCCCTTTTTTTTTTCGGTTTTGGGTGAGGAAATGGAAGTGGAGGAAGTGGACGATGGTGGTTATTATATGTGCATTGTGTTTGTCAGGCGAGGTGGTGTGCATGTATGTTGACACATTCTTGGTTGAGGAGAGCCCAACACGTGCTGAGTTTCGGACGTTGGAGAACAGATTCTGGGGTTGCTTGCACATGAAGCAAAGAGTTCAATGGCAGTTCATCATTGATGGTGGTTCATGATTCTCAATCCCTACGACAAGCCCAGGCTTGCCCCAAGAAGTTGTGCCCACAACTAAAAGCCAACATCAACATTCTTCAACTCAGGAGAAGCTTCGCGCAGGGTGCTCCATGTCTTTTGATTTCTTTCGATCCTGACGGGGTGTCACCACGTGTCACGATGAACAACGCGCCCAGGGCTTCTGTTTGCTGAACAACGTGGCCATAGGTGCTGCCTATGCGTGCCTTGGACACAAGAAACAGGCGACGGAACCCAACACTCAGCTATTTTTCTGGAGGGTCTCGGATATTTCTAGGGCTGCTCATAGGTCCATGGAAATCGGACATTTGTCTGATTCTGGGTGTCTTCCAGTCAGCACAGTCCAAAATACCTACCCTATGGTTCCACTACATTATCCAAATGGGCATGACATCGCAAGGGTACTCAAGACCTGGGGCCAACTGACAGGATAGTCATTTAGTACCAATGGGGATTGTGATGTTGAATCCAGAACATGACATGGTTCAACAAGCCATCAGTCCATGTGTGCCATGTGTCCTTCATTCCTCCACGGGTCTTCTTCCACGAGGAAGTGCGTCTATCGGCATGTGATCCACAAGGTGCGGATCCTTAGACCGGAGAGAGAGTGGATGGAGGTGCCGCTGAGACTGAGATCGGGAGTTTGGAGCTGAGACTGAATGAAGTCATGAGGAAACCAGAGGTATTGCCATAGTTATTGATGTCTTGACAAGATAATTCAGACAAGGGAGCTTTTGCACTCTTTTCGGAGCAATGCAACTAGTCTCGAGTATTTGCCAAGCTGACACCCAAATGATCCAGATGGTCGCCCCACATTCCGAGACAGCCCCACAAAGAAGCCCTTGTTAGGGGGAACAGGCTTCATGGACGTTCCAAGAATAGACAGGCTTAATCTGATTCTCTCGACTTGGCCAACTGGGTCCCATGAGCTGGATGATCCCCCAGTTACCCAAACCCACCTCCCGACCCGCCGCGTCGCCCCTGTCGGCCAAGCCCAAGCCCGCCCGGGCGCCCAGCGAGGTGGCCATCATCGACTTCGATGTGCATCACGGCAACGGCACTGAAGCCATCGCCCCTCAGCACCGAAGCGGTGCGTGGTACGGTGGCGGTGGGAGAGCCACACGTGCGGTGGTGGGAGGTTTTAGGTTGGGCTCTGGTGGTTTCTGAGGAAATGATCACGAGCCCCCTACAATTCTACAATTCACTTTGCAGGAAGTTGAGTTTCATGAGGTGAGCCCACAGCCATTGAATGTCCCGAATGACCAATATGCATCCAGCTCCAAAACATGAACATAGTTCCTGACAGATGAACCAACCGGGGTTTGGTCCAAAAACGACGCCCAGCAACCATCGCAGCCTGATCCGAGGTCAAGAATCTCAACTACCGGCCAGATGCTCCCAAGGCTTGCAAACGTGTGCGCAGCTTGTGCCAAGCCTTCGTTGCCCAGGTCAAGTGCTGGTCCTCTGTGTGTATTGTCCATCTTACGTACTCTCTACAGCTTTCTCTGGCTGCGTTGTGAAAATCCGGTGACCCTGTCCTGGGATGGTTATCTACAAGTTGAATAGTAGTTGATTTTAAAAGAATCTATATAATTGGGAGCGTTCTGACTAATCAGGACCAGGATCATCGCGAAACACAAAAATGAAGCACTGAAGCACGCAACGCGAAGCACCAAAACGCGTAACGCGAAGCACTGAAACACAGTTCGCTTTCCCTTTTCCAGATATAGCTTCACCCGTTCTCTTCATTTTCCGCCATTCGTCTCTGGCCAGTTGCAGGAACAGCGTGGGACACTGACTCACGCTGGGTCCATTCTGAGGTGAGCCTGGCGAGGGAGGGAAGCTAACTTGGCATCCAAGTGAAAGTCTTCAGAAGGCTGATGGACACGCCAAAGATACTTTATGATTGTAGAGTGGCTCATAGTCCAATGATGGGAGATGTGCACCTGAGAAGAAATGTTGCAGAGTTGAAAGACGACCTCCTGCAGTAGTTTGCTCGTATAGTAGACCCCCCCACTTGTTGAGACCCCCTACTCTATTTGTAGGATGCTTTGGTTTGGCCTTTGATTGACCCTTTGGATCAGCAATATTTAGCAGGGGACTGCGACTTCTTCTTTAGCTCGGATGAGCATGGAGGTGCATACCTGCAAAGAAAGCAAGAATCATCCTCTGTGTGGCCACCTATGGCATGGAAGAGCCGTGAAGTCTACTGTAGTGTTTGTGTTCCAGCAAATCCAAGCCTCCCAAGCACATCTCGTTGTCTGACCATCGGGTGGTTTTGGAGCGAGGTGGTCGAGGTGGTCCCCGAAGGTGGAGCCCTCTGACCTACGAGGTCAGCTGTCAGCTGTAGGAGGTCTCAAGGGATGGAATCATGGCAGGAAAAAGCCATTGGGTGGATGTAATGCCCGCACCAAATGAGTGGACCCAAACAAGTGGTCTGAAAAACCCATGGCCAGACCGAGTTCTGCCACGTTGGTCCAGAGTCGTTGTGCCAAATACGTGTGCCATTCAGACCAAGTGTGCCATTCAGATCTAAACAGCCAGACCAAGTGAGTTCAAGACATGCCATTCAGACTCTTCTGTTAGGGTGGCTGATCAGGTCTTTCTCATCAGACAAACTGTTCCTGGGAACATCGCAGCCGCGGCTCTGACTGAGAGCTGAAGAGGGCTCATCCCATCTCATCCCCCTTATAGTGAAGAAGGAGTGGTCAGGAGCTAGGAGGAGCTAAAGGTAGAAGGAGCTAGTAGGCTGGCAATTTGTTTCTCTCTGGCTCCGAACAAAAAGCGGACAACACCACCCCCACTGACCCCTACTGACCCTCACTGACCCTGCACCTCACCCGCAAAACGCGACGAACGCAGTCGTCGGGTCGACTTCAGGTTGGTCTTAGAGAAGCCACCCTCCTGCAAGCTCGGGGCTCGGTTGGGGCGGTGCTTCGGGCCGACCAATGGGCTGGTGCGACATGGGCGTGACGAGCTGGTGGACATGAAGAAAAAGAACCGAGTGGCACCGAAGATGGAAGAAGTAGTTCCAGTTCCAAAGCAAAGACCTACTGCAATTTGTGAAATCATCGACCATCATTGTCCATCATATTCATCCGCTGTTGAGGTCTAAACTCTGAGACTCGGAGGGTTGATGTGGTCAACCACCGGTGAGGTTTGACTCCTCTTCGAGCCGGACATTTCAGAGGCAGACCAAACACAAGTGACCGTCAAGTCCTGGGGCGGGCGTGGGTGTTGACCGATGCCTAGGACCTTGTAAGGACCTTGTAGGATCTTGGGTAGTAGGATCCCCAATAAGAGGTTCTTCAATCCAAATACAGGTGGTTGATGAATCAAGTTCCTTCGTTCGGCTCCCTTGACCCAAGGCCATGGCTGGATGGGAATGACGTGGAGAACGTCTTCTTTGCGCCGGGGACGCAGGATCTGAGGTTTTTGGCGTCG